GAACTCGTGTCAGCTATTTGCTTGTGGAGTTCTTCTTATTCTCAACTATTTCTGTTCATTGAATAAACAATTGGATCTTCATCCAATATTCAATACTATTCTATTTTCGTTGTTGTCATTCTGTCATAACCAATACTGTGGCACCTGGCATTATTATTAGTTGCGTCTCTGATCCTCATCAAGGCGTTACAGGGGAGTGGGCTGGGGTTTTGATGAAAATTATTTTTTGACAAAACTTGTGATAGTCAATGTAGTTTTTCCTGCTGATTCCGAATCTGATGTTTATTTTGCATGAAAATTGAGTTTTGTTAGTCGAAATCCGGAAATAAGAGTACAATTCTTTAACCTATAGCCACCGATCCAGTAAAAATCGATTTTCTCAAAGAGCGAACAATATTTTTTTAAATTGAATATATGATTTTGTTCGCTATCGCTTGACGGTTCGAATCAGCTCGAGAATTGCTTTCAAAACAGATAGTTGATGATTTTGCGAGACATCAATTTGAACGTGTCTACATGGGGACTTAGTTGAGCTCCTCAAACGTGAAGCTCATGCTTTTTATCGGTGGAAGCTACATCAGCAGATTCAAATTTTCATGCTGAATTTGATGATGAGAATTTTTGAAGCATAGAACATGGTTAAACCAGTAGTGTCCAAGGACTGAGAAATAGGAATTCCTAATGTGTCGAGAAATTGTCAGGGCCGCTGTGATAATTCCTAGAGGAAATGGGAATCAACTATAGGTTCCCTCATAGTTCCACAATTCACGAAAGCTGCGATATTGCTGTTTTAAAAATAATTTTTGCGTGAAATCATTGATTCTCACAATTTTTCAAGTGAAAATGAGTGTAAGAGCAAAAACTATCGTGAATATTCCATATTTTTACCTTTAGTATGCGTGGAACTGTAGGGGAACTGATGAGAAGTTCCTAATCCTTAGTCCGTGGACACCCCTCAACAACCTTTGCTGTATGTAAAATAATGAGTCGTTAATCAATTTTCAAAGACCTAAACGAGTTCGGAAGTATAAATGAGTACGTTTCGAATTGATACACGACAGGAATGGGTACTGATACTTATATTAACTTAGTGTTCAAAAACTATTATTTACTAAGATTAATCGAAACTGTCGGTTTGAGTGGCTTTGCCTAATTTTATTTAATTCACTTGGAATCTGTATCTTACACAAAAAATGAATGTTAATAAAATATCCCAATAACATTTAGTAGTAGTCAATAGGAACGATGTAATTTAACAGTTGAATTTAATTTGGCAAAAGCAATGATCGACCTTCACATATGTTTTAATAATATCGAAAATTCATTCAAAATAATGAAATGATTCGAAAGATATGTTATATTTTATCTCAAAAGCAATTAATATGCATGTCGTCATTCGATATTTTCCAAACAAAAACTATAATGAATTTAAAATATCTGACCGATCATCGATAATATTATCATTAAAACAACAGCTTTATTTTGCCACTTAAACGATCGACGAATACGTAAGTATCTATCACAATGATCGATCGCTGTCCTTCGTATGCCAACATTCTAAACCAAGAAGCCTTTGATTCTTCTTCGCAACAGAAAAAGTAAAAATGTCAATGTGTAAAAACATGAATATAGATGAACAACAGCATTTATATCAATGAAATACACTGAAGGATTGTAATCTGAGGCAAAGATAATGAATTTATGAAATGAGAAAATTTATTCATTCATATTTATTACCAGGACACTTATTGTTTCTCTGATTATTTAATTTTCTCTACGTAAATCGCATTGAAGCGTTATAGATGTTTGATAATTTCCTGTAATTTTAATCAATTGATGAGAATCATCTAGCAAATAAGTGAACGAGAATGCAATAGCGAGAAAATTCCATGCCATGTGTATAATAATTCGTTTACGTTTATGCTAGACACAGTACTCGAATGATGATAGTAATCAATTATAATACGAGTCAAATATATTAATGTATATATTGCTAAGCAAACAACAGATATTTGAATGATTCATATACAAAAAACAAAGACAGAAATAATTGGTATTTCTTAGTTAGACATATCTATTTCAACAGAGATTTTGGCGATCAAACGAATACATGCATTCGATGCACGAAACAATACTAAAAGAAAACGATGAAGGACAATAGAAAATATTATTGCAATAGGAAAAGTATTCAAGTAAATTGAACAACATAATTTCTGTAATAAACACTTCCATACGACAACGCCCAAGAATTTTTCAAAACATTGTATAACATCAAAATAGAATGATAAAAAAAAATTAAGATTTTGATTTATACGTGATGTATTTCGAAATATTATGCTTCTTTTTATTTGTAATTCAGTAGTTCTAATGCGTGATCAAGTTTTTTTTGCTTTAATACGTAATGAAATCGATGATTGATTAGTAATCAATGATTAGTAAAGATATTTTTAAATCATTAGCCTTGACAAATAGTTGGGCTCCTTTGTACCTAAAATATTTTTGTGTCTGTATTATTAGTTCGCATGTATTATCCAAAGGCAGTTTCATGCAGCTACAAGAATCGGCCCAAAGGCGCCATTAAGTATCTCAAAATAAGCAATTAGTTATATGCGTACCAGCGAATGTCTGCTTATACGTCTCAATCGAACATTATGGTCCATGACTCACCGATGTTGCGTACCTCTTTGTGTGTTGTCATGTACTTTTATCAAATATTGACAAATCAAAAAAAGATCCAAATGTTTCTTTCATAGATTCGGTACATATTTTCAACAAAATAGCACAGTAATAATTTACAGCATTTCAAAAACGTCTTTCATTCCAGAAACATTTATCCCTCTTTGATCTGCCGTTCTTTATATATATCGTATCTATTTTATTGACTAAACTATAACAAATATTTAGCAGAAATTGAGTGAAGCAAACTACAAATCCAAGCAAATACATAAATAGCATATGCAAGATATAGGATCAAGGAATCAAAAACATTTTACAGGATTCTCTAATTAAATCCATCAATATCGATGTCTAGGATTATTTTTATTACATTACTGTGTACGAAGTATGATAAGCTTATGTTTACGAGTTGAAGAATCAATAGAAACTTGATTTTTGTAATATATTAAACTTCTAAGAATGTGTGTAGAATAGTGTTTTAGAGTGATTAAGACTAGGAAATAGTTTATTATACAATAAATTTTCTATGCATATGGTATTCACCAGTCTGTATGTCGATAGATTACTAAACAGAAAAACAATTCTTTTTAATGAATTAAATTGAAAGAATGTTATACTTCACATATTCAAATAATCAGTATTAAAAATTTTATCCACCAGTGTTAAGTTATTCAATTATTGAATTTTTCTTTCAATTCACCTATAACCAATGAAAATATGAATACGAATAAATATTTGTTAACCATATATTTTTTAAATATGCAAACGTCCTTGATTTAAAATGATTTCATCAAAGTTTAGGTTTCAAATCCTGTGAATATATAAAAAAAACAGTTACATGTCTAATTTTCGTATATATATGATCAGTGATTTAGCCCCGATCGCCCCTGTCTCTAAAAGAAAAAGAACGCTCAAGTCACAAGGTTCGGGTAACTGTAAGAAAATAATCTACTAATCGACCCATTGATTCATCGAGTTCTTCTCTTTTCGAATCTCTGCGACCTCGGAAGATCCCTGTCTTCAGTAATCATTTCGTTCAATAGTTGGCAAACTATTAGCAGCACAATAAAACGAATGACCATGACATATACTAATACATATTAATTGAAATATAATAAAGGCCTGCGTACATTTCAAGGTGAGTCAATAGTATTATGATTGCTATAGAATTTCTTTCTTTTTCTTCATTTCTCTTTCTTTTTCTTCTTTCTTTTATGATAATACAAGACGAAAAAGAGAAAGTTTATCGTCATCATCGAGTCGCGTGCTGTTGCCGATAAAGAAAAAAGAGAAATATAGTATCGTACGCATAAAACCAGCTATTTATGATGATTCATTTATAATTACTGGATCCTTGAGATAACAGAGGAGAGAAAAAACAAGTTAACTTGACAACATTATGTGTAGTACGAATGAATTTATGTACGAAAAAAGAACATATGACATATATATATATATGTTGTTGTCAATTTCGATTTTTTTCTTGAAGAGAATTTTGTAACATTTACTTTAATTTATTATTATTTTTTTCTTCTGTCTTTTTAGTTCTTATAGAAACTTAAATTGCAAAGTCTATATTCTTATATTTGTTCGTGCGATTATCGTAGATTGTTGTCATAAGACTTCAATTCATTTCAGTTGTTATTTCGTCACATAAACACACACCCTATACGTTTTTGCGTCTCTTTACCCTTTCTCATCATTCTTTTTTTTCCCGACTATCGCTGTCAATGATGATGATGATGTGAACGTAGTTGTAGTGTGTGCTGCTTGCTTGCCACGATCAATACGAGAGCGATTCTTTCTCCGTCGCCCCGCACGCTGTAGCTTGTCGACAACACGCAGCAGCAACAACAAAATAAATACACAACAGTAGAAATACATTGCTCGAAACGCATACAAAAACAAAACAAAAAATCAGAAAGAATCTTAATAGCAGTTTTTGTTTCGTGTATCATGCACGATCAGTGGTTCCTCGCAGTATGACTTATAAAAACAAGGATATTTAATTTTATTCAAAATTTTATTTTACTAAAATAGAGTGAACATATACCAGATGGCTTATATTTAATTGAAGTTCTTCATTCTGGTAAATTTATAACATTTACACCAGAACGTTCAACATTAGTACAACAAGATCAAAATGTACAGGTCTGAACTTTTGGTTTTCGTTGTTGAACACATATGTATATGGTCATTTTTGTTGTTAATTTTATTAAATTTATTTCTAGAATGAAGCTGAAACACAAGTATTTGAAATTCAACATATTGGCTATCGTGATTATATTATTCGACATCATTTAACTGGTCTTATTTTAACCGTACATAAGTGAGTCAATATTTAATAGATAATTATAATTGAACATTCATATTTCTCGTTTCTTTCTGCAGTGGTTCGCCGTCACCATGTGCTCCTATTATTCTTGGCCGTTCTATGGGTGTTCGTACACCATATCAAACAGTTAATTTTGAACGATCGAGTAGTCAATCGGATGATTTTATTATATTTCTAAAACATACACGGATGGTACTTGATATTGATGGTGGAAGTCAAAGTTCCAATGCTCGGCTTCTTCAATTTCCTCAAAAGAAAAACAATAATTTGGAACAATTTACTCAGCGTTTTCGTCTTCATCCTATTGTTGATCACACAACTCAACCGACTATTATCATTCCTGCTGAATATATTCGATAAAAGAAGAAGAACAATAATATTCTGAAAAGCAAGAGAAATGACAGTCAAAAATTATGTATGATGTTCGTTTTTCTTTTTTGTACAAAATGTGTCAGATGATGATTATTTTAAGCTCCTGGTGACTCTTAATTAACATATATATATATATATATATATTTATAAATATATATCTATTTCTATTTTAAAAATTTTGAAAATATATAGTCAAGAATGAAAAGAAAAAAAACAATTCATAAATTATTTAATTAAAGAAAAAAAAGAAATAAAAATTGTTATTGATTGAAATAAATAAATAAAAAGAAGAAACTTCTTTTTCTCAGTATTAGTGTTACTGTTTTTTCGATGATGGTTGAGATGGTTGCGTTTTTTTAATGATGAAAACGTCATCAGATCTAACCTTTGTATCTTTTTTATGGGATTTTTGTAAGCTTTGCTTTGCAGATCCGGGAACGAATTCAGAAGAATATTTAAATGGTAAACTACCGTTTGTTTGTGGTTGTGACATTGAAATGCCAGTTGGAGGTTTAGCTGTTACAGTGACTCGTCGAATTGATTCGTCGCTTGTGGTCGATGATGAACTTGTCGATGATAGTGTTGATAATGTTCTAGCATTCCCTGCTTTTGGTTGTTGTGCTTTTGATGGATCTCCTTTTGGCTCATAACTTATTGCACCTCGATTTTCGTGTCGTTGTTTTGAATCATGTTGATGGTGTTGGTGACGATGGTGATGATGGTGATGATGGTGATCGAACAATCGACTCCAACTTAAATTTTCCATATGAGTATCAAATGATGATGAATTATAAACATTTGAATGTGGTTCCGATCGATGGATTGTACCAGCGCGATTTTTTCTCTTCGATTTAGATGAATGATCTGTATATGGCACTACAGGGTAATTATAATTTTGATTGTAACTTTGTGCATACTGATTTGTATAAGGTACAAGAGCATTCGATTGTGGATTATTTGGATATGAACCTATTTGTGGTTGATAAGTTTGACCATAATATGATGGTGGCTGAGAAATTACCAATACACCACCACTGCCGCCGCCACCACCACCACCACCAGATCCATAGTTCATCATTAATTGTGGAAACATTTGATGTGCTTGTTCCATTGGCATGGCCAGAACAACACAATTAGGTGGTAATGAACCACCGACCATCATTGCTTGCATGGCTTGTGCCATATTTGTTCGAATATACGGTGGAACTGAATATGGATAATGCATATTCGATTTTTGCAGAAACACGAACTAGATAAGAACAGAATTTGTCGATAAATTATTGTTATCATTTTAATAAATAATCAATGTTTAGTATCTTTTAATGAAATAGATCTATACTTACTAATGAATAAAACTTATTATATTTTCTAACGTTTTCAAGTTACTTTCTTTTTCCTGTTTTACTCAGTTGTAGCTTTGTAAACATTAATAATACTCATTCGATAGACATGCGTACATATCACTACTTGATCAGAGTTTCTATTCAAGCATGATAAGCATGACAAGGTTCTGATAGAATCTCTTACCGTTAACTAAATCTAATTGATGAAGAGATCTCCTTGAATTGCAAATATAGAAATGGATAAAAAATAAAAAATCTAGAAAAATTAATTTAAAGACTAGCGATTCTTCTACAATAAGAATCAAGTATGATTTTGGTATACCAAGAAAATAAAACGAAGATACAATGTATACATTAATCAAATACTATTAGAACTAATTTGGTTCATTGAATTTCTTAGAGGTCTTTTTCTGTTTGCTTTACCTTAATTTATGCATCAATAATTTCGTTCACACATTGATTCAGCCTTGCCTTTTCTTTTCATTTCGCTTTTTTTCTCTCTCTATAACTGAAATGCATGAATTACCGGTTGGCATTAACGATCTGATACGTAATTACCCTTGTCTGTTTCGTTTTTATGCTGTCATTCTATTGATAATGATTATTTATCATATCGAGTAAAAATGTAGACTCGAACATTGTAATGCAATATTCATGCACATTATAACAAGGTAGAGAAATTACCTTGTGATCAATAAGTAAATATCAATTCTCCACGGTGTATATTGATGATAGAAAAATGTCATTAACATCAAATAGAATATCAAGGCAATAAGATATTGAATTCGATCGGATATACGTTTATGTTAAATCAGCTATTTAGCTTCTTTTTATTATTGTTAAACTTTGCACTGAACAATGTAAATAATTATCATTATATATAATACAAATATATATATATATAAATGTTTGAACTGTCTAATCAATCGGAAGACTTTTGATTGAATGAATTAGTAGAAGTGGTTCCATAAATAGCTAACAGGAACACAATTTATTTGTCGGCGACATCTGTTCCTGTTATTTCGTGCGTCAAATTGACGACTAATGAACATTTTTTTATATTCTGCACGCATGCTTTCTTTTTTTTTTGTCTTCCGTCGAGTTCTCTGTTCCTTTTGAGATCGTGCGAAAGAAAATGTGAAAAAGAGAAAAAGACATCGATCTTTGTGGCCTATATATGGCTGTCGTTTGCATCGCTGTTGTTATCCTTTCTTACGCCTTCTTTATTTCTTTTTATCGCTGAAATCGATAAAAAACGAGTCATTTTTTTAACCGGAAACATAATGATGGTTCATCATCCATTTGACTTTTTCAATCAAGCTGTCATATTCTATTACGCTAGGTAATCTTCATTTTATAGTCATACTGTTTCTTTTTGTAATCCCGTAATCATGTTTACTCTGTTGTTCTTCTATAAATGAACGATCCATTTGTTCATCAAGGTCTTCTATCTTTTTATTTTTTGTTGAATTCCCAAGATACGAACGATCATAAACATTAGTTCGATCACAGTATTCTGCGTGTTCACGTTTCTTTGCTTACTCTGTTTCTGTTCTACTAATAGTATAACTATTTCTAGACATTTACTATAGACATTCTTCACGCTACTTCCAACAGTGCTTGAGCATAGAAATGCACGACAGGAAACAAGAGGGATTTTGATGAATCTTTTATTTTTCGGAAGCATTCTCTCATTTAGTACTACTAATGTTACTCCTCAGTCTTCTTTTTCTTTTTCTTCTTCTTCTTCTTCTTTTTCTTCTTCTTTTCTATTGACTCTGTATAGAAGCTCGTACTTCTTTTTGTGCAACTTTCAATGACTTATGGACACCGAATATATATATATATATATATATATATATTCTTATAGCTTTAACAGGAACACGTCGTTTTCAATAAAGTATTAGACTATTCTATTCTATTCTGAGGTATTATGGAAAAATATGGAATCCTCATTTGAATGAGAATGGCAGAATAATGGTAGCGTGTGGTTCATTGTAATATGAATATAGAAGAAGAAAAAAAAAGTATATATATATAATCAACTCTTTATGTGACCAACAATGTCTACACATTGTGATAGAATAGAATATTTCAACAGTACTTTCCAATTTCTTACTCTAGTTCTAGATGAATTCCTTTTTTCAATGATGCACATCGAACAGCAACGATGATGAACTATTTGAAACGACGTTTCTCTTCAGGAGACCTGCAGAATGAACAGGATGACAGTGTAATGACAATACCAACATCGAACGAGCCCAATATGGACATAATATCGCAAAGCAATGCTAATCGTCAACCAGCTTGGGAATCAAAATCCTCAAAGTATACCAGTGCACCTAGTTCTCCAACTCGCAGTTTTTCGTTTGCTAATCAATTTATGAACGCTGCACGTGGTGTAGTTAATCAAGCAATTCAACAGATTCCACATCAACCAACAGGAACAGGATTAGCATCGTCATCATCATCATCATCCGCCGTTCATGCCTATCCTCATCCTCATCCTCCTTCTCATCACCATCACCATCATCATTCTCTATCAATGCAAAATAAAGATCAACAGCCAATATCAAAAGAAAAATTCAAATTATTATTAGTTGTTGATGATCATCATACAGATTGGTACCTATTAGAACTATGTTTATTTATTTTTATTTTGTTTTTGCATTATCATAGGAGTAAATATTTTAAAGGCAAAAAGATTTTTGCTGATTATGATATTCGTATTGAACAGGTTTTTATATATGTATATATGTGTCGTGTATGTATCTACGTGTTGTGTTACTAGCCGCGACAAAAAAAGAAATATATTTTACGTGATACAATATTCTTTGAAAGAATGTCAACTCTAGCTTTTTTTTCGTGTCGTGGATGTAATTTAATGATGATGATAAGTATTATGATCTGTTGTGTTGAGAATAATAGATTGCATATAGAACTGTCACGCTTTGTTCATAGAAAAAGAACAAATATACAATACCTTTTGTTTCCTTTTTTTAGGCTGAATTTAAAGATATTAATTTGGCTGCTTATTCTGATGCTGGTACTTTAGTAGATATAAATATTTATCGAAATGGGACGCGTGTCGTTCGGTATGAATGAATAATGATGTATTTCTACTATAATCTATTTTCTTCTTGTTTTGAATAAAACTAAAGATCATTTCGGCCTGATTTCGTACTCGTTCGGCAATATATCAAAGATATTAATATCGATTGGACAAATCTTATTCTTGGAATGCAATATGGAGGTTTACCTGGTGTTAATTCAATGAAAGCATTGTACAATTTTCGAGATAAACCATGGATTGTAAGAATTTAATTTTATTCTGAATTTAATTTTACATAATTATTTCTATAGTTTGCTGAATTACTTAATATTCAACGACGTTTAGGTGTAGATCAATTTCCACTGATAAGTCAAGCCTATTATCCAAATCACCGAGAAATGGTAAGTAAACTAGGAGTTAATATTCTTTTTAAAGATATGTATTTGGTTTAATCTGATTCTTTCAGCAAGAAATAAATTTTGTTTTGTTAATTTTAGCTTATTGCACCTCAATTTCCATGTGTAGTCAAAGTTGGGCAAGCTCATCAAGGTTTAGGAAAAGTATGTTATAGCGATAGAAAATTCTTTTGTTCTTAGAAAAATTGAAATTTTATTTTTCTAAGATAAGAGTTGAAAATCCATATGATTTTCAAGATTTAACAAGTGTTGTTGCAATAAGTAATTGTTACTCAACAATTGAACCATACATTGATGGACGTTGTGATGTTTATATACAAAAAATTGGACAATATTATAAAGCTTTTATGTGAGTCTAATTTTGAAGAAAAGACTAATTTGCTAATTTTTAACTACAATCAATAAAATAAATAGACGTTTTATAGTATTACTATTTGCATAAGAATAAAAAAAAGACTACTTATATTTTTTGCTATGTGTTTGCTTTCCATTATGAGTTTCTCTTCTCAAATGTGTTTCCGTGGTGTTTGAGATCTTTCTTCTTCTTCAATCAAATATTGATTTTTTGTGACTGTTGATAAATTTTTTTAGTCGAAAATCATTAACTGGTAATTGGAAAGCTAATACAGGTTCAGCAATGCTTGAACAAATTGAAATGACGGATAGGTAAAACAAAAATGAATTGATTTTTACTTTTGAACACAAAAGAAAAAGAATTGATTTTTAAAGATATCGTTTATGGGTTGATGAAGTCAGTCAATTGTTTGGTGGCCTTGATATATGTGCTATTGAAATAGTTCAATCAAAAGATGGAAAAGAATATATTGTACAGGTTAGGAAACAAAAAAAAATCAATATTTTTGTTTTTTCTTGCTTATGTGAATGAATTTTTGTAGGTTAATGATTGTTGTATGCAATTATTAGGTGAATCACAAGAAGAAGATCGTCGATGTATTTCTGAACTTGTACTACACAAAATGCAAATCTATTGTCGACCTGATAAACAACCAACTATGATGACGTAAGAAGAAATCCATTAAGTAGTGTCCCAAGTTATAAAATTTTCTTTTCTCCCCAGTGAAATTGAGTGACTTCCTCAATTGTTTCCCTCACGCATACTCATAGGAAGAGTCGACTCATTATTGGGGTCGTCAAAATATTATAACGATGTACTATTTTAGTGCACACATTAGAATTCATTCACGTGTTTGTTGTAGTAATTTTTCATTTGTTGCAGTATTAACACAAATATAAACGATAGAAATGAATGGTAAATTAATAGATTTCCGTTTGTCTTAGTTAGCACGAATTTTTGATGAACACTTTACTCAAAATTCTCATCCTCAAGAGATAGTACGTCTTAGAGTAGTACTCAACTATGTAGAAAGTAAACGGCACATGTAGTATATCAATGATAATGATAGAACGAGATTTAGCTCAATCCATCATTGGCAACATCACTAGTTTCAATCATGATGATTTATATAAACTCTTTCAATATATATTTTAGAAAAATTTCATTTTTGTTTTCTTTTAAATTTACAGACGAGTACCAAGTGTTGAACAGTCTATTCACGAATTACCAAAAATAGCCAAAGCTCCATCACCAACTAGTGATCCCATTTCACATTCGTCAACAAATACACATAGTATATCACCACCACCGCCACCACCTCCATCAACAGCAAATATCTCTCTAAACAATCGTCGAGAACTACCAAATGTTCCACGCAATCCACCAAATGTTGATAATCAGCCATCGTCGACTATTAGTCAAAATCCATTTTATAATTCTTCAACGACTAATAATCCAACAAATAGTAATAATGCATCACGTTCTTCGACACCAGCACAATGGATGGGAAATATTGGACATACACTTCGCAAACAAACATCAAATGTAAGTGGTGTAAGAAAAAAATGCATATTTTTTGTTGTTAATGATTTTTATATCTTTTTCAAGAGTGGAGAAACGGCTAATAAAGATGAATCCGAAGATACACTTGCAAATTTAAAGAAAACATTTGCTGGCATTTTCGGCGATATGTAAGCTGGGTATTGTTGCAAATTGTTTTCCTACGCATAAAATATCATTAATTTATTATTTAAGGGCGTCATGACATAAACATAATATTGATATACTCAGTAATTATCTTCCAAACGTTTAATCTTTTTCACCTATTCTGCCTCATTGTTTTTGTTTTGTTTTTGTTTGGTATTTATGTATGTATGTGCCCTAATTATTGGTACTAATATCATACTAGACAAATATTTATATACCTCTTGCTATACCTTATAATGATAAAAGACGAAATAAATAACTGACGATGGTAGTCTTATTTTGTTTCGCTATGCTAAAATGGATTTTATAATGAACGTATAAAAATAGACTATTTAATTGATGTGCTCTAATGAAAAGTGCTGCCGATGACATAATTGAATTTTGGCTTTAGTTTTACTAGCAGACTAACTAAAGTCCTTTAGAATCAAATAATGTCTTATTGAATATCTAATGGAATATTAAAAAAAAAGAAGATCTTTATGTGATGAAGACATTAATGCAATAAGTCATTTAATTCACTGACTTAATTTATTATCATGTATAAAAATTAATACAAAATCTATATTCGGTTTTTTGTTAAACAAAAATATTTTGTTTGTTAACTCTGTGCTAGAGTTTTTTTCTAGAAGATATGATACATTTAAATGATTCCAAGCTGATTAATATAAAACACATCGTAAAATTACAAATAGGTCGATAGAGACGCTTCCGACAACAAAGCAACTGACAGTTGAACCAGAGTGGACTATTAACGTCAAAAATACATCACATTTTTAAATTTACCAGAAAAATTAAATAGAAATTAAATTACGAGTTGTCTCAAGTCGTGCAGGAACTACTGACAACAAGGTGACGAGTTGATGATGAAAAAGGAAATCGTCAGTAAACTGACTCACTCGTTCAAAATTTCGTGACTACAGCATTATACGAGACAACTACTAATTTTATTTTTAGTTTCTTTTCTTAAAAGAATTTACTTTTTGTTGTAGCAATCCATTTTTGGATGAATTCACGATCTGCCAAAATTAAAATCTTGAATTAGAAGAATAAAGCATAAGAGTTAGTTCAAAAAGAAAATGATCGATCGTAGATGTTCGTTTTTGTACATAAAAATAAACTATGAAAAGAAATTCTTAACTAGCCATAGTCATTGAGAGAACTCAATCAAAATAGCTTAATAAAACGTATATATATATATCTATCAATTTTATTTTCGAATGCATTCTATTGATCATTATTACAACGCTCGGTTGCTCTCATGCTCAGATATTCTATTAGAAATTGAAGGATGAGCGATACTCCTATCGATATTAAACTATTCTACTTGTGATTTGCGGTATTTTCTAACATTTTATCAGAACCTTACTATGCAGAGACTAGAGAAAATGTCGAGTTCAAACTGTCAAAATAGGCCATTCAAAGTATGTTGAGCTCTAAGTTATTCGAAGCTGCTCAAAATGATTTAATTTCTAAAAATTTCCATATAAATTCAGCTATAATATTGACGAACAATCAGAATATTTGCAATTTATTACGACAAGATCTAACAAATCTGAATTGATTAGCATATACAGAATAGACCTAATTATTTTTATACAATTGAAGGACATTTTTACTATTTAGCATGCTTTCTTTTTCCAATTACGATTGTTTTCTTGCAAAGCGGACGAATATATTTTTTATTTCATTTTTCTACGAAAAAAAGAGTTTCAGCGCAAATAATTATATTGTAGTACTTGTTGAACTCGTCGAGTAAGATAAAATAATATTAGAGTTAACAAATAATCATATTTGGTATATTCGTCTATGATTAATGGTGTTTTGAACTATATCTTATATGAGTGATAGCTAGATAAAATGCCAACATTAATCCTACTAAATATAAGATACGATTTTGAGATCATGAACAGAGCCCGCGGAAGTGGAGGGGGG